TGTGTGTGTGTGTGTCTGTGTGTGCGTATGAGTGTATGTGTGTGTGTGCATGTATATTGTGCGTCTATTAGTGTATGTGTATATTAATGCACGTGTGTCTGTGTTCATGCTCATGTGGCTAAGAGTATGTATGTATGGATGGATGGATGGAAGGATGGATGGATGGATGTATGTATGTATAGATGTATAAATGGATGGATGGATGGATGGATGGATGGATGGATGGATGGATGGATGGATGTGTGAGTGTATAGATATATATATGGATTGAAGGATGGGTGGATGGATGGATGGATGGATGGATGGATAGATGGATGGATGGATGAATGGATGGATGGAGGGATGGATGGATGTATGGACGAATCGATGGATGGGTGGGCAGATGGATGGACGTATGGATGGATGGATGGATGGATGGATGGATGGATGGATGGATGGATGGATGGATGGATGGATGGATGGATGGATCATGAGACAAAAGTCCTACCTGGCTATAGTATAGTCCAAAGTCTGGGCTGGGAACGAAAGGAAGAATTTTGGCGGGTGTTTTCTCACGACTCGCTTATGGAAGAGATGAAGGACGCACTCGCCAAATCTGCCGCACGACTGTCCTCCTCCTCGTTCTTCTTTCTCTCTATCTCTCTCTTTCTATCTCTTCTCCTTTTTTCTATCTCAGCGTGTTTTCAGTCGGTTGTTGAGAGTCGCGTCTGTTTGCACAAGGGTGAGCGAGTGCTTGGGTACACGAGTGAGTTCCTCACAGACTGGGGTATCTCACAACACGAGGACGGCCGAGGGACGGAGGCAAAGATCTTCACCGAGAGCTGGACACAGAAAGGCAAGACTTCTCTCGTTTCGATCTGGAAAAAGAAACCACAATAACATATTTAAAAGAAAAGAATATACCATGTGAAAAAGAAACTAAAATAACACGACCCCCCAACAACAAAAGCAAAATAACATAATGTGAAACGAAAACCAAAATGATTGGTAAAAAAGGGAACCAGGATAAATTGTGGTAAACTGAAAAATCACCTAATATAGCATACTGGAGACAGAAAACAAATTAGAAAGCGGTATAGTTAGCGATGACGATTAGTAAAATTGTAAAAATGTAATGAATGTGTTTTGTGTCCCTATCGATACAATTTCGGTCATTAAGGAGGCGGGTTTGGGCCATGGCTGCTTGTGTCAACCACGGGCTCAGAGGGTATAATGTCTTTGTAGACACACTGAAACACTCAATAAAACATCCCTCCCCTCTCCCTATACAGACATCGAACTCGAGTCTTCTGCGTACGATAGCAAGGCGTCTAACCGCTACGCCACAGATGTTGGTTGTCCTTCTGTTTTTTCGTTTTCTTGTTTGTTTGTTTGTTTGTTTGTTTGTTTGTTTGTTTGTCATCAACTTCCGATTCTGTCAGGGGTAGTTCAGACAGAATGGAACACACCATCGTGGCAGATAAACTAGTTAACTACACACACGCACACGCACAAGCACACGCACACGCACTCATACATAAAAACAAAACACACACACACATACCCATAAACACACACGAATACACACAAATACACATATACATACACACACAAAAACACACAAACACACATACACACGAACAAACACACACACACATATACACAGAGACACACAGAGACACATACACTCACACACACACACACACACACATACACACACACACATACACAGAGACACACACAGACACACAAACACATATACACACACACACATACTCACACACAGACTCACACACATACATAACCTGTCACATTAACAAACAACACTTAAGCACTACTCCCCCGCTTCCAGAAACTCAAGACCCCAGACCTGGGTACGCGACCGCACGATTCAGTTTCCCGGAGCGTCGAAGGAAAAATTCTGCGCTATCCAAACAATGTCTCAAGACATATTTCAATGTTTTATCATGCACAAGAAAAGCAGGAAAGACCGTCTGTAACATGTAACACATTTAGAACCCCCCCCCCCACACTCTGTTTTTTGTTTCTCTCCTCCTTCCCTCTCTCGCTTCCAGAATTAATAAATAAAGCGAGAATAAATGTGAGGCAGCGTGGTGGAATCAGGCTCTCGTCAAAATAATCAAAATGAAGAAACTTGCATTTTTCAGCAGGTTTGTGAATTTTTATCGAATTTTTGTTTTTTGGCTCAGCACCTTTCATGCCCATTAAAGAACTCTTTTCTTTTTTCTTTTTTTCTGAAAAACGTTGATTAAAGGCATAAAAAATGTAAATTTTCAGTTACCATGGACTCTTAAGCTAAGGAAATAAATAATCTCTGGTGGCCATTTTCTCTCTAATTTTACCTCTGAAAAAAGGTGACCCATACCTCCTTCTTTCGCAAATATCTGGACATGTATTCAAGATAAAAGGATATTTTTTTCCTCCAAATAAAGACAAGTGAACAAGCTTTAAGATCATACCAATAACTCTACATGCCCAAAATTTGACGAGAGCCTGATTCCACCACGCTGCCTCACAAATAAGGAAAATGCAGCAGTATTTAGACAGCCGTAAAAAAAAAATGTAAACATTCAATTTATACAATCTATATTTAATCTCAGGATCTCCCCGCGGGCGTTGCTTAGAATGAAGATTTCAGTTGTAATTCCTTGTGGGAAATGGGAGGATGCTGGCGAGAAAAACAGACACACAGACAGACAAAAAAAAACCAAAAGAAAAACATGAAGGTTTTGATAAAAGGGGAGTATTTTAACGGAAGTAGTGCTGGTGGTTGGG